CAGATGTGCACTGTATTATTCTTCTCTGTTGAAGAGCTGCAATAACACATTTTTCATGAGACAATTGTTTCATACCTGCTGCAGTATGGCACTTGGCTTTGGTGAATGCAAATATTAAATTGATGTCAAGGGTTATCCTTATTTTGTAAATGACTATTGTTTGTAAATATTAAAATTAGTGCTTAAAAATACAATTGAAAAACTACCACAAATATGTTTGACTGACAATTAATGTACCAATCTTTTTGCTCAATTCATTCATGTTGACGATATTCAGATTGGAAGCATAAAGACTTAACAACATAACAACTTCATAACACCTTTTCTATAGCTAGGAGAGTGAGTGGAAGCTGGTAATGAGAAAATATAGATGTCTGAACTATAAAATCTACTTTCAAAGTCTTGGAAAAATGTGGGTAAGGGAAAGTTTACAACTGTTGCCAAAGGAATTATATCTCTGATTTTACTTATCTTATTCACCCAAAGACCAAACAGTGTCACATCTTTCCAATCACTGTGTCAAGGGACACCATTCAAGCGCATACAATAATACATTCTTCTGGGTATTAAATACTAACGTTTGCTGCATTGTAATAAACTTTCTTAACTAAATCGGCCAAATGAATTCCAAAATCTCCTTCTATGTATTGGATAACCCCCATCAGCTTTTTATCTGAAATAATAAAAACCTGTGAAACAGAACACTGAAATATTATTAGACTTTCATGGGAATTTTGGGGAAGGGAAGACAATATAATAATAGTTTTGTTGTCACTATATGGATGACTCACATTTTAAACGTAGTGTACTTTATCTTCCAAAAATTCCTCTAATCAAAGACAGTCCACAATATGTAATAATCGATCTCTAGAGCTAAATATGTAGATAGACTTGTATATTGAATCTTATATATGAACGGCCCTTATTCTTTAGTTTATGGCGCCCTCTAATGGTTAATCTGAGATTCATTCAAACAGGCAAACTATGTAAACAGCGCGAAATATTCGGCAAATTTAGGTTTGGAAACGCATATCCAAAATGGAACCTTAAAATTGTTCACTTAAAATTATATTTTATGAAAGCCCAAAAAAGTTTACGTTTTCCCAATTGATGTTGTTAACAATGGTAAGCAAAGACCCTAAACTATACTAAACATTAAAAATACTTCACTGTATGTATATATTTCGGGGGAAAAAAGTGTATGGATACACACATTAATAAATGTTTGATGTGTCACAATTCATGACTGACCATGACACACTTTTAGTGGCTTAAATTGCATCAGTACTTAATCACCTCATTAAGGAAATAGTGTATTGGGCTGGAGCAGCACAGTGGTGCAGTGGTTAGCATAGCTACCTCACACCACTTGGGCCCTGGGCCCTGGTTTCAATTCCCAGAGTGCTATCTGTGTGGTGTTTGCATGTTCTCCCTGTGTTTGTGTGGGTTTTTTCTCCCACAATCCAAAGACATACTGGTTGGTTAATTGGTCCAGTTAAAATTGGCCCTATTGAGAGTGTGTGTGTCTCTGTGCACCCTACGATGGAAGTGGTGCAGGCATGTGGAACGATATTCTATTTGTTGTGTTCAAGAGACAAATTGATGGGGAGGTCTAAGTGTGATTGTCTGGGCAGGAGTGTCTAGTCAGTACAGAACTCCCTGCTTATAATGATTGATGGCCGCCTGACTGCACAGCGCCACATTGTTCGTGTCTTGTAATCTCACTTGCTGCCCTTCCTGCGGGCTTGTCTGAATGTGACAACATTCCAGAAGGACAACACGCATCTAACAAAGACTTTCTTGCAAAAAGAGAAGGTGACAGTTACGCCACGGAACCTTGCTTGACAGACGTGAGCCCCACTGAACACGTGAGGGGTGACATGTGGTGTCTAAAGCTCAGAAACCTGTGAACAGGCACAGGCTTGTCCAGGAATAGAAATGAGAAACAATTCCACAAGACAGCAACCTGGTATAAAGAATGTGTCACATACGTACAGCTTGTATTGCTTTTAACAACACATAGATTTCACAATCACTCCATGTTGATCAACCCTATTGATGATATCAGCATAATGAATTTATCTCTATCTTGTCTGTGCACTAAAATGTCAGCACCCCAGCTACAGCTGTCAATTTCTTGGCAACTGATGTTTTCTATTGTCGTTCAATGTATTAATGTCTTGAAGCTTTAACTGCTTTTTTTTCCTTAATATATATTCCACTTTCAACAACAAACTATCCACTACATATAATTATCACTTCAGTGGACCACCATGTTTTTGGCTTCACATGGAACTAGAGATCCGATAATATAGTCACCTATAGTCACACCTCTTGATTGGCCTCTCTTTCTGTCCCCTGCTCCCGCCTCTCACTCCTTCCCCCTCCCATCCTTTTTTCTCCCGCTACTTTACCTTTGCCTACTGCCCTGTCTCTCTCACACCTGAAGAAGGCTCGATGGCCGAAACGTTGTGTTCTCTTTTTTCTTTTTTTCAGCATGGAATAAACCTATTACTTGTTCCTTTGCAGCCTACGCATGCTGACGCAGCTACCCACCTGATAATATAAGTCATGTGACTGAGGCTGAGATAAAATCAAAACCTAGACGTGTCTAACAAAGTCAGTTGCAAATCTCAAGGCCAATGGCTGATGGCAAGTTCAAGAAGTCACTAAACAGCCTGATAAACACCATCATGCACATTGTGGTTGCTTGCTGTGTAGATGTTTTGTTTAATCAGGGACTAATTCAGGCTCCTGGGCTCCTTCCCCAAAACGCTACTGTGGGTTTGGTCTTCCCTGCAGCACGAAGAATGAATGATTTAATTTATCGAATTACCTGTGCAAGTTATTTACCATGTTTTGTAATGATATCTTGCATTTGATGAATAAAGAATTGCAATTGCTTAGGTACAGTCCCCATAAAACATTATGAGGAAGGAATGTTCACTTTTTTCCATGTAAATGAATAACTAGACACACTGAGACGTCACACACTGGAACAGAAAATAGAAAGAACTGCTGCTTTTCAGAAGCTCATCTTCAAACCTCATGTGATCAGAGCATTTGAACAGTTTCCATAAGTTCTCACACCTGTACATGAAGATCATGATCATAACAATTATTTTTTCAATGATGGACATTAATGTAGTATATAATTATACCATAATATTATATAGAAGCAGGTTTTTTCATACTAACCATTGTATTTTACATCCTACATTTTGCAATGCAAACATCCTAAGCTCATCACACTTTTAAATGAGTGCAACACTACAACATTGAATACTTTTGGTTCCCAGGAAGAGCAGGATGTCAAGAAACTCTTACTCTTCTTTAATTTAAGTAATTTGGCTTATTTATGCAAAGTTCAGGTTCTGACACTGTAATAAGCCTGTATACCACCTCTAGTGCAATTCAAAGCAAGAGCATGCTGTGAACTGAATTAATGATTCAAGAGCTTCTCACATCACACTCAGCAGGAAACAGCTCTTTCCACACTTTTAAGGTAATCAGTTAACCTCTGGAGGCAACAATAAGTGAAATGTAGCATTTCCCCAGCAACGATGAACGCAAAAAATCAAACAAGCCCAACAAATTATAGTGATGAACCAGAGCTTGTAATTATGAAGAATCCTATCCCTAACCCCTCTCCTTATTAAGTCTGGTCCATAAAAGAAATCTGAATAAAATTAATAAATGTATCACAGAAAACACCTCCAAATATTCTTTTAAAAATAAGGCCTAGAGGTTAGTAATAATCATTCATGTTTTAGCTGTAGTTTATTGTCTGCAAAACTTTTCAAAGGTTCTTGGTCCAGTATGTATTGTGTAATTAAATCCAGATAAATATAAATATTTAAATAAATGTATACCAACGCACATTAATTTTTTAATTAATACGTTTTCTCCATGGGATTTCTCTTACTAGTCATCCATTTTCAGACTTTTGTTCTTATATTTAGATAATGAAAGTCTAATTGTGCTCTAAAACAAATTGCATTGAAAATCACCCACCTGATATATTCTCTCCAGCTGTAAGATTCCTGCTCTTCAACACTTCAGAGTGCTAACATTCACAATACCAGTCCTGAAAAAGTCAACATTGCATATGGGGATAAGCAAGTGCTGATTGGAGAGTCCTAAATTGCTTCCCTTTATATAGTAGTGGTTAATTACCTTCATAAAAATGAGGCGTAACTAAATGCATTAGGAGAAACATGCCATTTTTTACATTTATGTTTAATGTCTGAGTGTTGCAAAGTGCACTATACATCTACAATATACCTTATTACCCTCCACTTCTTGGAGTGCCACAGAATATTTTATGTAGCAATGTGACTAAAAGAGACCGCTGGATTGCAGATCTTGTGAAAGAGGAGGCTATTTTGTGTAATGTTTGTATACCACAGATCAGCTCTTCTATTGACAAGACCACTGGGGTTTCAACGTCAATGATAGACCCCGTGGCATTTTTGAATGCACCTCCAGAGGAGGCATGATAAACCTCTCACTTTACAAAGTCTTTTGTTATTGAAAAGACCCAAGGCTATTTTGTTGCTGATAGGAATTCTGTTATCGATAGTACTCTTGCTTCTTGTTTTGATAAAAGGAAGCCTCGAGGCTCCTACCCTACAACACATGCAAAATTAGAGGTAACACTGCATATTCTGTGAAAATCTGCATTGTCTAAGCAAAAGGAATACGTTTTGCTGATGTTTTTTCACGTGTTTTACACATCTTGTTCTGCTGGAGAGTGGTAACAATGTATAAGGTAAATAACCATCCGAAGCTTGCATAAAAACGAGCATCGCTTAATACCATAAACATTAGATAGCTTTCGCTTTGGTTGTTCCAGTGTATACTAGCGTAGACGCCAGACTTAGAGCTCAGATTTTATCAGTGCTCTAAAACTGCTTGTAAATGCAAGCACCGCGTCTCAAAAGACTACATTTCCGGGAACGAGCACGTTTCCGCTACGTTCATGTGACGTAGAACGTTAAATGAACTCACTGGCGCGTCTAGTGACGCATGTTTCTAGATACAGGTTATGAGGTGACTGCAAGTTTTAAATGGAAAGAAACTGAGATATTCAAGAAATATTTCGTTTATTCTTTTGTGAACATTAGCGCGTTAGCCAGCAGCACCAGGCATGTCGGTCCATTTTGATGAACGAAGCGGGGTGATTCCCTGCAAAACCGCATGGGGTGCCTGGTATCAGACCATGGAGGAGGTTTTTATTGAAGTTGATGTTCCTCCGGGAACTTCTGCTAAAGACATTAAGTGTAATCTCGGCAGCAAACAAATTGAGCTTGCTGTAAAGGGACGAGACGTTTTTAAGGTAGGGTTCAATCGAAATGCGTCATCTTCTTCCCACGATTTGACCTGGGATCCGGGTTATGGGCAGGGTTATGTTTTGCTGTCAAGATTTACCAAATCATCACAACGCACGACTGCTCAGCATGATGTCATTGAACTCTTCGGGACCCCAGGAATGTTTTATCTTCCAATTGATAACAATACACCTAATAACAATACACTTTCTTGGACAGAGACACTTCACGACACTTAATGATGCCCATCCCAGATAAACTCCTAAACGGACACAATTTCGTAGTCCATTTTTTTTTTTATTCTGAAAACATTTTTACTTCTTTTGAATCATTTGTCTTAAAGTCTTTCAGTTGCTTTGGACTTTAAACGTTGCGACGTTAAAATAGGAAATGCATGTTATTGATTTTTAATATTTCTTTTAGGGAAAACTGTTCGGTTCCACTATTGCAGACGAAGGAACCTGGACATTAGGTGAGTCATCTTATTTTAGACGATTAAATTGAAGATCGAGGTTATACAGTAAAATTATTTCATCTTTTTGCTTAAAAGACTGAAATAGAGTCAAGAAGACGTTATTTAATCTGCTGCAAAGTTACTATTAAACTGCTTCAACAAATATATTCATGTGTATGTTATATATTATATATTATATAACAAATAATAAAACGCCTTTGAGTTTTGTATTTTTCTGGAGTTGCCGAGTAGGTCCGATAACTAGGTGCATTTTTCATTAAACTGCAAAATTGCAAGTAGATGCATTTTCCATTAAACAGTCTGCGTTGCAATCAAAATATTGTGTTTTGACTATTCAGAAACGGAAATACATTCTGCTTGTTCTTCCGTGTGTTATCAGAGGATAAGAAGCTTATCCGGATTATTCTAATGAAGTCCAATCGGGAGGCAGGAAACTGCTGGCCTTCGCTGTTGGAGGGAGAGTACTGTGCGGACCCCTGGGTGCAGGACCAGATGCAGAGGAAATTAACTCTGGAGAGATTCCAGAGGGAGGTGAGAATTACGGATCTATAGGATTTTTTTCCCTGAGACCGTCAGTACTACATTGTTGTGCTTGCATTTAATATAATGCTGATTTGTTATGAAGCTCAGCAGGCTTGATGGGTATCTAGACTGGTGCTGTCCTTTAGATATTCTGTGGTTCCGTCAGGGGCTTGTGGGGAGGGCATTGCCTTGCAGCAGTGCACACCTGGCGGACTGTCTCCTGTGGTAAGGCTGGGATCAATGGGTTCCAGCTATTTACTGAGTGCCTGCAGACTTGCATTAATATTAGTAAGGTGTGCCAGTCTTACATTCAGTGCCAGCTGTCCTAGCAGGCACTGTGGAGCTCAAAAGATAAGAGGTTAGTACCCTCCCACTCACCTGTCTGGTATGGCTGTAGGGAGTTCAGTAGTGCTCTCTGTTTGCATTTAACGTGTCTATGATATCAATAAAAGCATAATTCAGACAAAAGTCTGGTGCTACCATTTAAATCACTTATCGGAAGAACATTCGCTTAAAAACCATTTAAAATAATGAAAGCTCTAAACCAATCATTAGTGCATTTATTGATTAACCATTACCTGTCCCAATACGTGAGAGAGGAAATCCGTATAAATGCACATCTCCTCGAAATAGCCATGTGTGATGATAGTTTATGTTTAGCTGTGAACATCCAGCTACAGTGTACACCTAAACACCAGAAATGTTAAGAAACCTGGCTAGCATGCCAGTATAGGACAAAATAAGTTTTGGATGGGAATACTCCTAATTTTTTAAACCACATATAAGAATAAGTTCATGTACAGTTGCAAGAAAAAGGTTGTGAACCCTTTGGAATTACCTGGATTTCTGCATTGATTACTCATAAAAATGTGGTCTGATCTTCAATTAAGTCACAATAATAGACAAACACAATCTACTTAAACTAATAACACACAAACAATTGTACTTGTTCCTGTCAGTACTGAACACATCGTTTAAACATTCACAGTCTAGGTTGGAAAAAGTTTGTGAACCACTAGGCTAATGACTTCTCCAAAAGCTAATTGGAGTCAGGTGTTCCAATCAATGAGATTGGAGGTGTGGGTTGGAGGTGCCCTGCCCTATAAAAAAGACACACAAAGTCTGGTTACTGACAGAGTCTGCTCTTCTCAAGAAAGAGCTGTTCATGTCCGCCATGCCCTGATCAAAATAAAATATCAGAGGACCTTAGAAGACGAATTGTAGAGATGCATAAAGCTGGAAAAGGCTACAAAAGCATTTCTAAAGGCCTGGGTGTTCATCAATCCACAGTAAATTATCAATCCACAGTACTGTTGCTACTCTCACTAGGAGTGGGCGTCCTGCAAAGATCACAGCAAGAGCGTAGAGTGCCATGCTGAAGGAGGAAAAAGAACCCTAGGGTAACAGCAAAGGACCTGCAGAAATCTCTTCAACTTGCCAAAGTCTCTGTTCATGTGTCCAGACCTCAACCCAATTGAGATGCTGTGGCATGGCCTGAAGAGAGCTGTTCATGCAAGGAATCCCAGAAATATCAATGAACTAAAACTTTATTTTGTAAGAAGGAATGGTCTAGAGTTCCTCCTAACCATTGTGCAAGTCTCATCAGCAGTTACAAGAAATGTTTGGTGGAGGTTATTGCTGCTTAAGGAGGTTCTATCAGTTACTAAATACAAGGGTTCACTTTTTCCAGCCTGGACTGTGAATGTTTAAACGATGTGTTCAATATTGACAAGAAGTACAATTGTTTGTGTGTTATTAGTTTAAGAAGATTGTGTTTGTCTATTATTGTGACTTAGTTGAAGATCAGACCACATTTTTATGAGTAATTAATGCAGAAATCCAGGTAATTCCAAAGGGTTCACATACCCCAAACCCTTTTTCTTGGAACTGTATGTACTGTACTACAGTAATAGTAAAACTAGTTTCATCTCCTGCTTTATGTGGCATAAGCTTTCTTTATAAATTCAGTAAAAGATTGTGTTTCCCGATTTGAGATCCATTTAGTCAGATATAATAACCAAATACTTTTTTTTAAAAAATGACATTAGGAACTGCCACAAAACAGATTACCAGTGAGTTTTCACTATACAAAACAATATATCAATAGTTAATATTTCTAAGGAGCACCCTTGCTTTAGCTCAGATATCATAAACAAGAATGTGGATATTGTTTACAATATTCTGAATGCCAACAATTACATTGACAATATCTGTTTTTCCTGCAGAATCCTGGATTTGACTTCAGCGGTGCAGAGATTTCTGGAAATTTTGCTGGCGGTGGACCAGACTTTTCCAATTTAGGAAAATAGAATTGCAGAGTGGTTTTTGCGGATGAAGGGACTGATGTCTTGTGGAAAAGGAAAGAAGCAAAGAAACTAAAGTGGTTAACAAGCCCTTCCTACAATGTGGCCTTCCTGAGAATGGTTCATGGGAAACTTAAAGATATGCCATATGAGCACTCTAAAGAACAGAGGAAATGAGAACCATATTAAGGATGTTGTGTTAGTGGCTTATTTTGTATGTCAATTTATTACACAAGATGTCCAAACATCAAATATCAGGAGAGTAGGAATGTTTTGTTTTTCTGCCTTTATTTTGTGTATCACAACTCCCAGATTACGTCGTAAGTACTAGGTAGTTTCTATTTTTCAACTATATAGCAGTACTAACCTGCATTCATTTTGACTGTTTTAATTAAATCCATGAAGTTATTTTAGGCTCTGAGAATGAAAGAAAAAAACAAATTTGTTTTACGATATGTCCATCAACCTAATGTATAGAAAAACATAATGGAAGGATCTGCATAAGGGCTGTTCTTTCTATTGCAAATTAAAACACTATTAGGTTGGGCAGAAAAAAGTTCTGGCTACCCTTCCTTTTTTGCATTTTGATTTTAAGGAGTATTATCTTCTAAATTAAAGTATAAGGTAACAATGAGACCTTAAACTTTTGAAACTATTAGTTTCTTTTAAACTGTCAAAAAGATGTTTTTGCAAAGCAGTTTCAGCAGTTGAAGATTGAGCCTGTATGAGATGCATCCAAGATCAAGGAAAGTGCTCCCACCTTTGTATCTCAGAATTAAGTGTCCAATAATTTAGAAATTAATACTACTTTAAAGGTGAAACACTTTCATAAAATGTCAAATTAATTAAGCAAGCCATGTGTCAGGATGGATCTAGTTTTTCCCCAGAAGATGTGCACCAGATGTAAAGGAAATGCTTTCTGCACAATGGTGTACAAAAATAAATTTGCTTCAATTTCAGTTTGGTTTTTCAACATTTCCATGAAGGATGTTGACTTTTAATTGGAACAAAAATCATAATATGAAAATTAATCAGTTAAAATGGAGTAAAACCATGAACCGCAATTAAGATAAACAAAGCCAGTCACGTGAAGTGCAGGTTGAGAATTATAGCACATTTAATGACTAGGAGTGTACCTGCTGTGAATGTGTGCTGTGTGTCCAAGATCTATTGCATTGTGAACACACCCTTTCACCACACTTGCAGTACTCCATGGCTGCCAATGAAATAGTAGGGGGTATTCTCTCGTGGGTATACAGGGTTCATACACCATTATTCCCAGGTACTGCCCAAGTATGCTAGGCAATATTGTCAAAACTACAGTGACTACAGTATGTGTTAGCATTGCATTCCTTCCACTCCCCCCCGCCACCTGCATGGTACTGTCAAGCTTCATATAAAACAGGTGAATCGCATCAAGAGCTTCAAAGAAACTCATCTACTTTTTTTTCCCCTCAGGTTTATTTACCCAAATGAAATCTGCAGTCAACATGGCAAAAATCAGCCTTGTGTGTATTTCTGAATGACAAGACATCTACTGCATTTCAATAAGAGTTTATTGAAAGGTTTACACTTCAAAAAAAGTCATCATCAGATCAGTCTTTAAAGAAGCCACCATCACATTCTGCAGTTAAATAAGAAAATGTTCACACAGTACTGCATTGTAAAGCCATCATACCTTAATGAATACATTAGAACAGACTGCCTTTATATGGCAATGTGGTTGTAACAATTTTGTGTTTAGGACCCTTAGTTTGAAAAGTGGATTTCTCCATTTAGGAGATTTTGCCAATTTTAGTCCTTCAAAATACATTTTAAAAGGGGAGCGGTTTACTTTTTTCTTGCCATTAGGCAACTGGAACTTCAAAGGCAACACGTTAACTGAGCATTTTACAATATCTCACTTTAAACACTCAGAACTCCATTTCTGCTATTCTACATTTAGTTTAAACCAGACAAATCCAATTTTGAGATGCATTTAAAACATGTTCTGCTGTACTTCAAATAAGGTATTCTCAAAGGTTTTGAAGTGGTGTAACCAACAAGACTTTTCATTAACAGTTTCCAAAAAACTTAGGCTACTTTTCCTGTACTTTTCAAAAATAAAAAAAGTTGTTAGTGTAACGCCTTTCATGTTGCAGACTTGTGACAAGCAATTACAGGACTATTAAACAGGCACTTAACAATAACAATAGCCCAGGCTCAGAGCTTTACATGTACCCTCCACATATACATTAAGGATCACTTTCATTTTCCTTAACCTGGGGGATACATTGCAGTGTAATAGAGAAATGAAAAAATATATATATACCTTAGGGTAGGAGTGTGCAATAGGCTTGTTCAGCTACCTAGGCTGGAAGTTTAAGGGTTTTGGGCCCGGTTTCTTGGTTCCAATGTTTTAAATCACAAAACCCTTCTTCCTCCTCTTCCACATAGTGGACTGAGGACCTAGGTGGTTCAATACTTTTAGACCAATCACCAGTGCCAAGGCCTAACTTAATAACCATAGCACCGATTTCAGAGCACATACATACACATAATACAAGCCTTCACCCACTATAGAACAAGGTTCCCCTGGTCTTGTCTGACATTACCAAAAGATGTCCTTTACTTTGTAACTGAAGGTTTGACATTGAGACAAAAGATAAATAAACTACTTTCCATTTTGGCAAAAGATGCACAGAATGTCATTCACCTGGCTTGTTTGCACAGTGTAATAGCAGTATTGTCATATTAAGTCTCAGGTATAAACAAGTTTAAGCAATTTCAAAATATTAAAAGTAACAAAATGCAAATGCTATTTGTGTGCAAATACTGCAAAACATTAGATTTTAGTTTTAACTACCTGCTTACATTTTTTGTAAAGCCTACCTCAAAACTTAAACATGTATTCAATGATTTGAGACAATATAAGTCATGCCCAGTTTTTTTTTTTTTTATCCTCACAGGGTTAAAAAAAAAATTCACAGCTTTAAAATAAAGGGTTAGCTGGACAGACCCTGATTAGCACTAGTACTAGACTTCCTTACCTAAATTAAGATTAGCTTGTCCAGAGCTGGTGATAATCAGGGTCTGTAGAACCACTAGGAAATGTTATATGAGACTTCTAAAGTGTTTCCAATTAAGACTGATCCCTTTAAAGCATAAAATGTGGTACTACTACAGAGACCAAATCTTCAAGTCTTAATGAAGCTGACCATTCTAGAAATGATCAAAGCATATTGAAATACTTTCCCTTTCATAGTTAAACTTCACTTTGCTGTAACTAAATTAGTAATGTCATAGTAACGCAACTAGCAACTATCTTTTTTATTTTCTGCTGGGAGAGAAAGCATTCTTCCATACCTGCAAAAGTAAAAAAAAAAGCAAGTTAGTATTTTTAAAAAGCCACATAGACAAATTATGTTAAGAGGCTTTGATGAACAGGGATCTTAAAAAAGCTCCATACTATGAAGATGCTACCTTTAAGCTTAAGACAGGACCAGACATTTTAACCTTTTAAATGCAAATAAAGATCTTTAATACTTCTTAAAGTTGAAATTGAAAATGTATTTGGGTGGGGCAGGCTGCAGGATCAAAGCCTCTTTATAAAATAAATTTACCTATATTTCATCCATCTTAACAGGCTGCTTCAGGAATTGTGGGCAGATGGGCGATCCTGTAGTAGCTGTGTTTCAATTGTCTTGCAGTCCGGCCTGATACAATCCACCTCAGCTTGTGGTTGTCTGGCTTTGTGCACTTTGTAGAGGAGTACTCAGCAAGGCACTTTGCCACCATCTCTCTCACACAGATAAGGTCCCCCTCCTTAATCTAGAGAAAAACAGTGATTGACAATTCGATGTTTTCATTAATATCAAATTTGTAAGTTTTCAAAACTGTGAGCCTACATGAAAAAGCTTTATAGCAACTCCAGCACCTTTTCTACCACTTCGATATGGAAAATCCCACTGCACTATGGAAATATACAACTGGATCAGACCATTCAAGCAACTGTCTCAAAAGGTTTCATTACAGAGCAGTATTAACACTACAAAAAATGGATTTGACATCCCAGAAATATATATATTGATAAACTTCATCAGATAAAGAAATAGAGTCTGAACTGGCTTAAAGTATTTTACTACTCTACAATTAGAAACCCTAAAGATTGCTAAATCAAATACATTAATACATTATCAATCAAGGCATGCCTAGATAGGCTGCAAGTTTAATCATGTTGAATAATTGTGAAAAGGCGATTTCAACTGAAAAGTGTACATTCAATATTTTTCCCCAAACTTCATCACTCAGACTTGTAACTTTGTGAATTAACTGACTCAGGCTCATTATGTAGGTGCTTCAGTAGTACTTAATTTCATCTACACATCCACCAGTAATTCAGTCTCAAAAGCAAAACGTGCAGCATTTGACTCAGCTGCTTTAAAACGATCCTTTCAGCTACATGTTCTTGAAACATGAATGCAAGATTAGCAAAGGATCCAAAACTTGAGACATAAATTTCCCATCAACACTGATATTCATATTACTCAATATGAATAAGTGCTGGTGCCTCTCACTAAAAACAAGGAGAAACCAAGTGATTCAGGTAACAAAAAGACTTGAACATGGCACAGGAAATCTTAGTTGGTGGCAACCATTCTATCACACAGGATGAATATGATGCCATTGACGAGCATATCCACTTCAGAAAAACATTTAGAATTTAGTTTGTGCAAAAGCTTAGGTTACAGTTTATATTCAGCTCTGTCCCCCCAGTTCAATGCCTTCGTCCAAACATTCCTTGACACTTACATTGGAATACTGCTTGAGGCTCTGGAACTCTTCTGTCAGTTCATGGAGGCTTTGTTCCTGGATCTCCAAAGCTAATACAGCCAGTGCAAGCAGAGAGGGCTGTAAAAAGTTACTGATTAGAGCTTTTATCAAGACAAGACTGAAGCTCAACCTTTATCAATACTGAAATGCCAAGAAAATCCATAAGAAGCAAACTGATGAAATGCCTTCAACTAAAACACAATCTAAAGAGTTTGAGACTACATGTGTAATCTCCACTAGTCCACAGATGCATTTCAACTTATCTCAAGCACATTTGGTTTTAACTGCGAGGTAATTACATCAAGTACCTGGAACTAAAAAAAAACAACTATACCTAAATTGCAACTTGCATACAATATCTGTGAGGCATAATTACAATAGGTCTAAAAAAAACCTTACAATATAGACATCAAACAGGTCAGAACAATTTATAGTTAAGATTTAAAAGCAAGAGGAACACTGAACTATGGAAATTGACGGTGTCCCCAGACTAATCTTACAAGATTCACTACATTTACCAGCAAAATGGACAAACATTACATTTGCTACATTTGTACCCAAAGCAGAATCTGATAAAAAAAAGAGGTAAATGCTTGAATATTCTGCTATATTCAAATAGCTGACAGATGCTATGGTAGTACTATATTGGCGTGCATTAACCTTAACAGCTTCTGAAACTTTTTCAATTCAGAAAATAAGTTACTTCCTTTAACAGGAAGTTAGTAACAGTAGATAATGTCAATATAAAACTTTAGATAACTAGCAAAGGTTCTCTTACCTTTACTTTGGAGAAGGAAAAACAACAGTAGCAAGCTTTCAGTTGAGCTTCTAATCGTTCAATGTTCAGCATCTTCTTTCTAAAACATGAAGAGTGAAAACCTTTAGAAATCTTGGTATATCTTAGACATAAAGCATTCATTCATTAAAGGGTGCTTAATGTATGCACTTAGTTAAAAGACAAATATTTTTAAACAATGCACAAAACTAATACAGTAATATTTTTTCCTTTTTTCCCCCCTCAAAACTTGTTTTGCATTTATTTTAGAACCAATGGCTCTTTAGGTTTCCTATTCCAAAAACAAAAAGAGTAGCACTCTAGAACATTCCTTGCTATTTACACAGATTCTGTACCTCTCAGCAGGCATCTGCTCAATGACATGCGAGTAATACAGCCTCAGGAAATGCAGAGAAGTTGTGGCCTTTGCCTTCCAGTGCAGCTTTTCCAGAACAATCTTCTCCATTCTCATCATGTCCGACACAGTAAACCTGTGCTGGCTTATCCGTATTAAATCATTGGCCAGAGGAATATTCTTCTCATCCTCAGACACCTTCACAGCAATGTAGAAACAGCAGAGTCCCACACAGGATAGATGTTTAGGCTGCACCTGGACAACAGAGTTGTACAATTGTAAGTCATAAAAGCAAGAACAAGAAGAAATCCATTTTAACAGCTTAAAATAAAATTTCAAAAATAGCAAAATGCCCAGCACTACCCTTCAGTTTCATTACTGCTTGTAGACGATATGGATCAAGATTTAAGTTTGATGTTCAGGAAATTATTCAGATGGTGCAAGATATTAAATGCAGAATTTAAGAAAAGTGAGTGTGAAAGGACGTGATAAACTTTCAAACACCAACAAGAGCTACCAGCCAACATTAAGTCTCAAGATATTAGCTTGGTGGATACTTTTAACACAGTTTCAAACGGTGATACACGTTTTTACATCAAGCATCAATGAATGGTTTGCAAGCACTAAAACACCGGCACACCACCTACAGCAGGTCTACAGCAGGTCTACAGCATTTTATGGTCAATGAATCGACGCATACCTTCATCTGAGCCAGGAATCTATCCAGAAGGTTCACCGCCAGAGAAAAGCTCTCTGCACTGAAGCCGAAGAACCGAGTCAGGGACAGCAGCTCCTTCACCTGGAAGTCCCGGAGCGCCGCCGTCATCCTGAGCCCGTTGTCCTGGGCGGACTCGATGATCCTCAAGCCGCAGAGCTTGGGTTGGTACCTGGCCTCCTGTTCTAGAAGCATCTTCAGCTGGACTGGAAAAGTCGTCTCGGGAGCCGCCACCGTGTCAATCATCTGATGCGGCAAGAAAAGTCAACGCCTTTCGTAAACTAACACAAACTCCGTTTGACATACTTCTTATTCCTATGGGCCATGCATCTTAAAGACGGAAAGTCAGAGGCGTTGTATTGAATGCATTTCTAAGAATTATAGAAAAGTACTTTTTAAGTGCCATCACGACCTTCAGCAGTGCCCGTTTAGACATCGAGCCTGGATAAACAGCTCAAGTTAAAGGCTTTCGTTACATAACTTAAAAATTGCAGGGGGACACTTCCAAAAGTGTCAAAACTCATAAATACCATAGAATAGACCACCACTGTCTTGAGTAAATAAGTTGATATAACGATCTCCCCGCTTTCAACAATAAAACATCGATTTTAAAATTAATTTAACGACTAGCAAAAGGCGCAGGTCTGCGCGTCATCAGACAGTGCCTGTCTGAGAGAGCCTTGTCGACTCATGTCTGAACATGCCCGACTCCACTCAAGTCAATGACGGCAAAGGTTGTTACTGAAAAATATACAAATTTGTAAAACGTTCAAAGTAAACCTACATTTAGAAATCAGCGTTGAGGTTTTTAAGCTATTCGACATTTTGATTACGTTCATGCAGTGATCTGTCAACCAATTCTTACTGTACCACATCTTTGAAGAATAAATACAATATTTAAGTCATAACTTACCTCTATCCTCACTGGAATAAAAAAATAAGATGTGAAAAGCTGGGTAAATACAAAGTAGGTTTATTCCTTTTAGCAACTTTGTGAAAAAGTCACCTTTTCGCAAAGGTAAATAAAAATTGCACTAACGTTCATAAATATGTGTAAGCATGAATTTATTGAGGAGCCGGTGTAACCCCCAGAACTTCAAACCCCTGCACACTCCCTACCCTTGGCTAAAAGCAACAAAATGTCCGTCCTTACTTATATATAAAGTAGTAGGGCGGGACATAGCTTCCAAAACCATCCCAGGGAGCGGTGGGATTGGTCAAAATCGTAGTAATACGAGTCTGTATTCACCACTTATTCGCTAACTAAACTATCAATCAGTGTAAATTGCGTCTTCATCAGAACTGTACTGCTCATGTGACCAGACAGCTGAGACAGCCACAGCTGAGATCTGCAGGCTCATACTACTGCATATTCAGAGGCATATCATATCAGGCTGGAATAGTCTGTGCCGTACAAGTACAGCTCGTCAGTGCTAAAGTAGCATGCATTTCCAACAGCACAGCTGTGATTCAAATTAAACGCTGTATGCACCCAGAAAGATTTTTCCACAAACGGTTCCTTCCCAGTTCAACTATTGGTAAAAAAAATAGTTTAAATAAGTTATAATGTAATAAAAAAAATTAAAACATTTTTACCTTCTCCTTTTACACCTAAATCTTCTACAGTTTAAGGTTCATTGTTCAATGGTCCAATTTTCACACACTTTTGATGAAAGATTGTAGGATGCCACCTTCTCTCTGTGGACTTGCTCTGCCTCTCTAGACCACAATGCAAAGCTTTCAAGATCCTCACCGACCCTTCCCACCCTGCCTAACTTGCATTTACTTCTCTCCCCTCTGTTCTGTTACAGCACCTACCTGGAGTAGGTGAGGTGCAGAAACGTTGCACTTTGAGATCTTGCACAGTATGTCATTACTCCATCAGGCCTCACTGTTATTTATCATGCGTTTAGGATGTTTGTTCTTGTGCTGGGTGGAGGCTATCAATTATCTGCTTTATGTCGCATATTTGCATCATGTGTCTTCAATTGAATGAGCTAGCCAAACCTAATTCCATGGAACTGGTTGTTATGGCAATAAAGTATTGAACTTGAAAGACTATTCAAAATCTGTCTCCAGCTCTTATTTTCAGGCCTAATAGAAGTGTATGAGTTGTCTCTTGATATTTCAATTAACTATAATACACTCTCGCTGTGCATTTTAAAGAATGCCACTTGTGGAATTCTTTAAAAAACGATTTTTGGATCTTTCAGAAAACAGCATATTGAAAGTTTGATATCAACAAAATACTGTTAATGGAATATTCTTGTAGGTTATACTATCTTAATATATATTTCATGCAGACTTTTACTATATCTATTTATTATTTTCCTATAAATTACAGTTTTGAGGAGAATATTCTTTTGCAATGGATATAATAAAAGATTTGAACACTGAACCATTTTTCACTGCTCATTGGGAACCAGCTAAGTGGATGGCTAAGAATTCATGTTGTGTTACTCTGAAAAATAATTCATGGTTTAGGTTTTCAGATTAAGCCGTCTCTGCTATGCTATCTTAGGTTGTACCATGTGTAATCACTGAGACGAAGACCTTGAAATCTGAAACTTTTAGAAAGGCCACAGCTGACAGTGAAGCACGTCTGGAAGCTGTCCTGCTACTTTAGAGCCAGGAGAACAGGCTGTAGCCCATCTGCCCCAGCGCCAACAGACAGAAGATCACTGCACAAATTAAATCGGTGTTCTGTTGTCATATGAAGTGACCAGGAGGTTGCAAATAAAATAAAGAATGCATCCAGCAATCCAGTTCTTGCATACATTGACTTTCTAATCAATAGGCACACTTTGATGCAGTTCTTGCTAAGCATTTGTCAGAAAATTCAATTACAAACAAATAATATATACGAATTTATTATACTGCATGTGTCAGTAACATGGATGGTGCTTATAGTTAGAATATACAGTAGTCAAATACAGTTTCACATTCCTCGTAATTCTTTGACAGAGACATTTTAAACCTGAATTGTGTGTGTATGTGCTTACTATACAATATGTCTAAAATATATATATGCCTTATGCGGAAGTTGCCTTTCTTTTATTATAATACTTTGCATAACTTCAGTGCCTTCACCAGCTTGTCTGACCGATTAACACAATTCGAGCCCTGAGCTTGTTCCTGAAACAACTCACGTAGCCCAGTGACGACAGTGTAGGAGGAGCCAAGCTGTTCAAATATCATACATATATTGCCACAAACTGGCGTACGCCTCTTAAGAGATGGCTGTTTTTGTTTTGATTGTTTAGCTTTCCACTATTCCTGTATTTTTCATCTTTTTTTTTTATTGTGTTCCGTAATCAGAGGCATTTTACGATGTGCCAGAGTTTTGGTTCGGAAGCTGTACAGCGAAATATTCCAGATTTGTTTTACGATCAACAAAAGGTCCCTTCTGCTGTGTTGTAGATTTTCACCCCTTTGTTTATGACAAAATGGACGAATGAAGAGAGGTTTAACTTGAAAATTTTAAATGCGCCGTAGGTCGGAGGATATTTTCGTGATTCGATACGGAGAGGTAAGGGGGATTTGTTTTCTTGAATTGTGGCTTTTTCATATCAATGTATAGGTTATGGGTGTATATACATAACCAAAGAAATCTCGTCCCGCCCATTAGTAGGTATGTACTGTACTGTGGTTACATTAATGCTAAAGAATCGTTTCTATCATAAAAGTACTCATATGAATAATTAAAAGCGTTTTAATCTTGCATGCGATATCATAACTTGTTTTCTTTTTTGGTATGTGCGTATCTCTGTTTTGTGGTGGTCTGTTCATGCATGCTCTACTTATTGACAATTTGAGGGTTAGAATGTTAGTAAATTCTTGGTGCATGAAAATAACAAGACATCGGTGTAATTTATGTAACCATGACATCGGTTAGGGAAGAGAGTGCGGTTCAAATTTCTTTCTTACTCTTATTCTTCCTGTGTTAGTCTAACATTTGTTACGCTGGCTTCTCACAATACGGGTAGTGATGTTACCTACGCGGCTCTACTACAATTATTATTGTCGCAATGTTGTTGCAATTATTGTTATTCGCAGCTCTTTCACTTTTTCAGTTCAGCTAAAAATATTTTACCAGAATGTTTTTCAGAAGTTGAAGATTTAAGGCTAGTCTTGAGGAGTTGAAGTAAATCCGCAGAATTAAACCAGGGTGCTCCAATGCAACATGCAAGTTACTACAGCAGCCTACTACACGGAAATGTCTAATATTTGATAAACAAATATTACGAGGAATATAGCATGCATCGTTCAACTTCTTTCTTGGTTTTGTGTAGGGAGAATACAGTACATAGAAACTCGTTTAGCAAACTGCGTCCTCCGTTAACCTACTAAGTCAATACGGTGAATGTTTGAGTGCACCGGACAAATTTTACCCGCTGTTTTTGCTTTTGGGAATTTGGAGGGTTCCTAGTTTATAAACGTATTGATTTTTCATAGATCTAAATTTTGAATCTGTCCGTGGTGTAATTGTTTAGTCCGGGTACTACAGTGATTAAACAGTAACTACTTGTTTCAATTCTAATGAAAAAAAAAGAGGTTTAAAAAGGAAAGGCTGTTTTCTTTCCTCTATAGAGCAAAATGCTGATTTGACTGTTGAGCCTTAGCTAACTCTGTGACTAGTGAAGGTTCTGCAAAGTTTGAAATCGGAAAATGTTTCTCATGCACAGGAAATCACTGACAATTCTTGATAAAAAAATAGCACTATTTAGTTGTTTTAACTTTAAAACAAAGCAGAAGATGTGATCCACTTTTGGAAGACCCTGAAATTCTCGCGTTTTAACGCAGACTGGCTGCTCTTTTGTAATCATGAAGTTTCGGTTTTCCTTGTGAACAGTTTGCTTGGCAAGGGGAATTCCTTGACCAGATTATGAAATGAATGTCACGATTTGAAATTAAAGGAAACGTTCTGTAATTTTCGTGAGTGGAGAATGTTCTGTAAAAAACATGAGAGCCGTAAAGTTCAATTTTAGATTTTTTTTAACACACTAAGTGCGGATGACGTACCCTGTCACAGGTAGCTGTCCCCCAAGGGAAACCTGGCCAGTCCCGGGGACGGTGGTACGATGAAGTGTCCTACAGGATCAGACGAATGCCGACTGGCAATCCTGCTGGAAGACGCGCTTTCCCGAGAGTCCCGGCTCTGGAAAGCGCCAGTCTTCAAACACAGCAGATCTCAGGTGAGCTCTATCTTCTCCTAATTTTACGACTAGTAACGTGGGTTGTCTCCTCTGCATTTGTAAAACTAGAGATCCTGTCAAGATTTAATCGGAGATAGTAATTATTTCAAAGTATAGATATTCTGCCTACTGAAATGTGAACGTTTACGCTCAGAAACTAATCGTTATAATAGTAGTTTCAATTCTAAATCTTAACTGAGCTCAATGACCACAGCTGTCTCTAATCATAATCGCCATTGTAATATTGTTTCTTGTTTTTAAAAAGTTATTGTATTAAATGAAACGAGAACATAAAAAGTAAAAGGTTTTTGTGCATGCAGATTAAAGAAATCTTTCTTCTATAGAACGTTATTTATTTCATACAGCACCTATGTTATTTGTACAAATAAACACACGTATCAGTGTTAATTTATTTTACACTGCCTGTGGGGGAATCAACCTGGATCGCTTTCAAAAGGATCATTTATTGTTAATACGTTAAGGTGCAGACGTTTTAAGTTTTTTTTCTGCAACGTCTGGAATACCCATGTTAATGATTAACACCACAGTCTGATGTTCAGGTTTTTTTAAAAGGATTTTGTTTCCTTTGTTTGATTTTTATTAATTTTAAGTACACACTTTCTCATGCACCATTCCAGATTGCATAGATTTGTTAAGTAAGGCTGTATTTTCTAACTAATTGACCTTGTGGTGGACTTTAATCTTAATTAATCCTACACATTTTTTGTTCTCTTCTAATGATAGGGCACAGATATCTCTCCATCTCAATATGAGGAGGTGGTTTTGTGGTTACTGGAGTTGGGCACCTTCTTTAACTACTGCCCAGAAACCTTTGCACTTGCTGTCTGCATTCTCAACAGAATGCTAGCATCAGTCAAGGTAAGTACTTGGTCTCCTCATTGTACTTCATGACACACAGACATTCACTGAGCTAATGTAC